TTAGAATGTGAGCTGACGTGGCCCTGGGCAAGACATTTAATCCAAAGTTATTATCATAACATCATCGTACCAAGCTGCCATCAGTGCCATTTTACTGCCAGATGAAAGGAGAGAGTTGCATAAGGAGGTGGCGCTGCCAACATTACTCATACGGATTATCCATTTCCATTATCTCCTGAAGGAGGCAGCTGTCAGAAGAAGGCGAAAAGTGTAATCTCATCTGATTAAAAAAAGTTAGGCAACATCTGTGTTCAAAGGGAACATCGTGGCTTCAGTTAATTGTCAGTGTAACTGATAAGGTTTCCTCCTCGGCAGTTGAAGTCACTGCAGCTGACAAGAAAAAGAAAAACTTCCTGATATTTGCCACCGAGGCCCCGAGCTCGAGTGTGTGGAGACAAGTGAAGGGCCGCTACACATCTGTGTTTGCATGACACGAAGTGGGCCAAATACACCGGAGGGTGACAGACTAGTGTCCACTTTCACCGGGCTGCACATGTTGTACGTGTGAGTTGTAGTTCTGACAGGGCCACAGTTGAAGGTCTGTGTGTCTCCCACCAGTGGGAGTGGGTGAGCTGGAGGCAGGGAGAGTAAATGAGCCGTGGCCACGGGAGAAGAGAGGGCACCTTGTTTCAGACGCAGTGAGACTGGATCCAGCGGCCGGCCTGTGTGTTTTCATGTCACACCCTCACATGCAGACTTCAAACATTTCCCTCCCCCCTCTGCCCCCCTTCTCTGCGCCGCCCCACCCACGTCTCTCTTTACCTGAATTCATCGCTCACGTTTCATGTTTATTTTCCTAGCGTTGCCGTCTGTTTGCTCCAGTCTCGTGCAGGGCTTTAAGTACATGTTTTTGCCATGGAACGTGCCACGTTTGCACCATAATTATGGAAGCAGGTTTAACGTAAACAAACCAGAATATAGGTCAAAAGCTCTGGATGTTGACCTCCACGAACAGAGCTCCTGTGGGAGTGGAGACTCTGACAGCCTCACGTTCCTGTATGCTGTGACGCCTTAGAGATTTTACTGTCTTTCTTTAAGTGACATCTAAGGTATTTCCAGTGTCAAACTGCGCTGCAGCTACTGGGTCACGCGTGTTGACGTCCACATGTCAGTCTGTTCACTCTACTTACTCCCTGCATAATGACCACCTGGGGGAGCAATAAACAATGACCCCACCCCCCTGTCTGTGTTTGTTGGTCCAACAAACTGCGAGAGCGGGTCGGTCACATCTGCACTGACATCCGTGTTAGCATGTTAACACTGTGTTATCATCGAGTCTAAGTTGTAAAAAGAGGCCGCATTTGAACAAATGGACAACTTCCTCTCAGCTGGCCCCTTATGGAATTTTGGAGAACTGAAGTGAACTGTGCCTTCTTGTTTTCTTTCACTCTCACCTATACATACATATATACATACATATATATACATACATATATAGATATATACATATATACATATATACATATATATACATACATATATACATATATATGTATGTATTTTATGTTTTTCTGTAAAACAAAAAGAAACAATTTTGTGTTTTGTTTTAAAGGAGTTTTAAAAAAGGCTTAGTAATTTCACTTTTCTGTAGAACGAAAAGAAACAATTTTGTTTTGTTTTAAAGGCTTAGTAATTTCAGAGAAACAGACGGATTAAAGATGGATTACACTTGTGCAACGCAGCATCATGGATTCAAATGATGAAGCAGAATTTCGTCCAAAACCCCAAAAAAAAATAACCAACCAAAAAAAAAACAATAAATCACTATCTGTCAGCCTGCTATTGTACTGTCGGTGAGGAACAGCACTGTGTACAGTATCAGCACTGGTTAATGCATAACTCTGGGAGAAACTGTTCCCTCACTATAACAGAGGAAAAATAAAAGAATTACCCAGAAGAGGACGCAGCGTTTACAACCGGTCATTCTTAGTTATATCACTACCACACCACGCCTTAATCTCTGTTTTTTGGCATTTAGTTGGAAACAAACAGGGAAGCGAGTGAGATACACCCCTGGTTATCTGCGATAAAAACAAAACTCCTGCACAGGAGGTAAATCAAAGGGCAGGACAAAAAAAAAACGAGCAGACACACCTGTTTACACCGGGCTGTGACCTGTGTACCCTGCACGCTGGTATGCTGCACCTAAGACGCCAGTGACACCTAAGACGAGGACGGACGAGTCTAGAAAGACAGAGGAGTCGATGTCGGCCGTGTCTCAGCTCCTCAAGTGTCCCTACGGAGCTGCGGTTTAATTGCATATTGATTTTGGCACAGTTTAAATGCAGGATGCCTGGAGCTCAGGGGTTTATGGGTTCAACTCCCGGCTGTCTGAGCCACAGTACAGCAGAGAGCTGCAGAATAATAATCACAGAAAAAACACACACAGCCACATTAATCATCAATGTGATGAGCATATAAGACTGTTTTCTGTAAGAAGCCACTCAAAATAAAAAAAAGATAATTGAAAAAAAAATCTAACACTGAATCGAGAGCTTTTCTCTGTTGTGTTTTTTTTTAATATGATGTAACAAATTCTTAGGCAGAAAAACAAATCTTAAAAATGCTAAAAAAAAATAAAAATAGAGAGCCTGTGATTTACATTTTTTCTGCATTCCTACATACTGCAGCGACTGTATGTCCAACTGCAGTTGAACACATCAGACTGAGTGGTTCAAGCACAAAGCAGAGGGTCCTGGGTTTGATTCCCAGAAGAACCACAATTCAAAATGTTTGTTTAGCAACTGTGTTAATGGAAGACAATGCTAAATGTGCACTGAGTAAATGTGAAAAAAGTAAAAGAAAAATAGCGGTGAAATTAATCATCAATGAACATTAACATCATACACAGCACACGACTGCACACACACACACAGACTACGTTGCATATTTTCTTTGGAGTGAAATGACCTTCGTCTGTAGCCGCAGTAAGAAAAAGACGGAATATCAACATGTCGGAAATCCATTTCTACCAACTGAGAGGAGGCGTTTCCCCAGAATTAGCATTTCTCTAAGTTACTGTTTGACTGTAGACTGTTCTAGTTTATTACATCCCAGGAAACAGCCTTGTTTTTCCGTCTTTGATGAGAAGAACAAACATGTGGAAAGAAATCCAACACTCATGTGAAATGTTCTGCCTCGACACCAGGCACACCGTGTTCAGAAAGGATCGCACAACACCAGCGCCGAGGAAAGAAAAACATGGACGAAAGGAAGGTTTTTTAATTTCCTGTCCTCTGACTCCTACTCTCTCTCTCACTCTCTCTCTCCCTCTCTCCCTCACACACACAGACAATGGGGACTCCGTCAGTGAGAGAGGAATAAAAGAGTCTTGTAATGTATATTCACCGTCTCCTACACACCTGAAGAGAAAATATTCCTAGCTTCCGGGGAAACACAGGTATTTCCTGATAAACAACTCCTCTCCCAGCACCTGTTTTCATACATCAGTTCTAACGACAGAAAGACCTTGTTTTCTTCACCGGCAGCTCATACGCCGAGGTTGTAGGAAACTTCACCAAAAAAAAAAAAAGTTTCATCCAACAAACACCGTTTAGCGTAGCGTTTAAAAAGCGTTTAGAGCGGCTTTTAAAAAACAGATTAAAGGAAGTTGACGGCTGTACATGATTAATTTGACCAATAATCAATAAAAATGCAGCAAGAAAATGTAGGTTTCCATTCATTAGCGCCACCTACATCGTGGTGTTGAGCCTTTCATTTCTATCCATTCCCATTAGCGCCACCTACATCGTGGTGTTGTGCCTTTCTATCATTTCTATGGTTTTTGTTACTAAATTCTGCAAAAAACAAACAAACCAACAAACAAACAAACCCCCCAGATATGATGTATAAAACTACATTTTTCTCGGCACACACACATCAGCACTTCCTGCACGACCTTGTGAACTCACTTTCGGGGATTTGGACCGACAGCCTATAGATGAGCTACAGTTGGCTCCACAGAGGGGGCTCCTCCTCTGTCCACACTTCATCACACAACACGTTCGCCTTTTTAAAATGACAAATGGAGTTGGTGTGTCACTCACTCAGTGCGCCGCTTTGATGCAGTTGCTAGGCAACCTCTCCTCTTCCTCTTCCTCTTTCTCTTTCTCCATGATGTCAGACGACAGGAACTGATGGGGGGAATCATGCATGTCACTCCAGTCGATGCAGATGTTCCTAAAATGGAAAACATTAGGATAAGTTTTAGCGTCAGGTTGGCACCGTCATCGTTCTTGACTAAGATCATTTCAGCAGTAACTCCAGCTCCAACAGCAGTGAAGAGTTAGACTGGACAAATGTGGGGCATAAAGAAAGAAAGTTACTGAACTTTGAAAAGACAAACAGAATTCAATATTGTGCTCCCTTGACTAACAGGAATTGAACTGGAAGCAGTGGAATGCAACAGCCAAAAATACATAATATATATCAACACAGAAAGAAGTGGGATGTCATTAACCCCTGACATTACATTTACATTAACATATAATAAATAAAGATATACTGACTGCTGTGGAATCTTGAATAATAAAATATTATTAATATTTGGCCCTACAGCATGGACCAATAGAATTATACCAGCCAGAATTTAATTTCACTGCTAACATAACGTTTTAACTTCTGATATTTCCAAAAAAAACTGTAATCACTGAAAGATTTATTGCCGTTTTTGACTTCTTGTTTCCGTGTTGTTTTGGTCGAATGTCATTTTCTCTACATCCAAATACACTTGATAACATCAGGAGGAAGTAGTTTTCGGTGAAGATCAGTAAACTCGGACTAATAACTTCCTGTGTTTACCTTTAGTGTAAAATGTCTCAAACACTATCTTTAAAAAAATAATCTAAAAAACGTTTCGCTTCACACAAATATGATTTTGATTATATTTATCCCTTCGGAACGTTTCACTGAGCATAACAAATCCGACCTTAGAACGCTTAGCACGGCTGGGTGTTATCCTGCACACGTTGCATGCTTTTATTTTGAAATATGCGCCATTGTAATTTTGGGGCGAGCTTTTTTTAGCTTGACGTAAAGGTGCTGTCGTCAGTCTGCAGCATCAGGAAGAAAAAAAAAATAACGGGCTTGATAAACACGCTCATCCCGAGGATTATAATCCTAGCGGAAGATGGTGGCAAAGCAGAGGATCCGCATGGCCAACGAGAAACACAGCAAAAACATCACGCAGAGAGGAAACGTGGCCAAGACGCTGGTGAGTCTTCACTGACAGCGAGACACCGGCGTGACAGTATCCCAGATGGGGACGTTCTGCCAGGCGTGTATGAGGCAGCAGCGTGTCCGTGGTGATGGAGCCGAGTCCAGCTGTGGGTCAATTGTCATTACATGTGTGGTTTCAGACCGGTGTGTGAGCGTGGGCTGCCCTGTGACAGGGCTGTCCGTCAAAAATGTAATCTGATTACTCTACGGTTACCGCCCTACAATGTAACGTGACTCTATTTACCAGTAAAGTATTTTGTTTTTAAATATAAAAAAAATACTGAATACAATGAATTTTTTTTAAAAAAATCTAATTTTTTAAAGAAATTATAACAGGTGGAAAAATATTCACTACTGACGTTGAAAGTAGACTGCAGTCTAATTGGTCCCAGTTCATTAGAAGCAGCAAAAGGTCATAATATTGTAAATGTAACACCATAGATTTAAAAAAAAAAAAATGTTCGGCCAAAATGTTTTATACCGATTACGAGCTAGTTTATATTTATTTTTGATGTATCCAGGGCTGTACTGTAGGCCCGATTAGCTAAGCGGCTAATCAAAAATGTGCTAATGATTTGTTTGTAGATGCAATGCGCTAGCAGCATTTTACCTGAATTAAAAGTTAGCCATATACATGCAAACGAGCACTGATAGACTTAAAGATACTAAGATTCACAGAAAAGGTATCATAAATGACGTTAGTACTACCCACATAAATGTGTAAATATGCTAGCTGCTAATGAGATGCTATGGTTTTAGATTGTTTTATACGAATGTCCTGATTACATTATTATAGGCCCGTCTCACACAAACACATTTAAAAATGCCAGTGAAGTTAGATTTAAGTGAGGGAGGGGCACACAGGGGAAGTTTACGACGGGTGTGAAGACTTTTGGGCCTTTAAACTTCAGTGTTTTTCTACATCCACAGATGGTTTCTCCCTGTGTGGAAACAGCTTCAGACACGTGGCCGTTATTGTATGAGAACTTCATCCCGCCGCACGTGACAGTGTCTGTAGTCCCTTCCCCACCGGCAGAAAAACATCCCACAGGATGATGTCATCCTGTGGGATTGATGGGTACTCCCTGAAGGAGTCCAGACAAAATGACTGCCGCTGTTTTGTCCCATGATTTTTGAACTCCTGAATCTGCACCTTTCATCATTGGACTGCATTACCGTCAGTACAATCACGGCTGTTATTTTAGGAACTGTCAGAAAGTTGTCATCGTAGCTGTTGTGTTTATTTTTAGTATTAAATACAAAAGAGCCAAACAAAAGCCATGGGGAATGTGAGTGACAGCCAGCATGTACAGTCTAGTAGATACAGTGTAATGGAAAAGTTTCTGTCTAAATACTGTCAAAATACTGATAAAGTAACGGAGGATTGATTTGTTTGTTAACGAAGGCGTATAGTTGAACATTTAAAATGGAGGATTGATTTGTTTGTTAACGAAGGCATATAGTTGAACATTTAAAATTATTTATTTAGGCAGAAAAGGAAGAAAGTGTGTTGATAAAAAAAGATCTGTTGTTAAAGACGCAAGCTTAAATTACAAAAAAATTCTCAACTTTAAAAAAAAAATTTAACAAAAAAAAATCTAAATTTGGGACAAACTTTGGTATTTAATTATATTCAATTATACATAAATAATAACATTTGATTAGATTTTTTGATTTAAAAAAAACTTGGTGATGCAATTCAACTGTGAAGTCAAATCCATTGCGAAACCTTCAGGTCCAAAACGACGCGACATTAATCCAATATTAGATATTTAACAATTCATTTACAAATTCAATATGGAGGACGCTAATATCCTCCTAGCTTAACCCTGGGGCTAATTTCTCCATCTCCTCCATCCAGACTTGGCTTTACTGTAAAAACCTGAATGGCTCGACCCATTTCTCCTGCTTGGTCTACTTTTTTTTTTTTTTTTCTTCCCCCTCCCCCTCCCCCCCCGGCTTCCCCTGTAGATTTATGGAGTGTGTGATTTAGTGAGTGTGGACAGTTCAGTGTTGCTCCAGCGTATGCTGTGTTCAAGGGATGAAGAGAGCGAGGGAGGGAGGGCGATAGGGAGAGAGGGAGGCATTGTGGTGTATGCAGTATTGTGATGGTGGTCATATCAGGACAATACTCAGCGCTGATGCCACCGCTGCTGCCAATCATGCTGCGTTTTATGTAATCGTGTGACTCCCTCCTTACATGAAGCTAATTCAGACCAATCTTCACCGCAACATATTTAAATTTAATTGGTTTGTTTTTTATGCATGTGTGTGTGTTTCTTACAGCGACCACAAGAGGAGAAGTATCCTGTGGGCCCCTGGTTACTCGCCCTGTTTGTATTTGTTGTGTGTGGATCAGGTATGTTCCTGTGGTTTAGGCAAAGAAACTGTGTTTCAGAGTTTTACTACTGTTTACGAATTACAAATATATTGTGTAGGTCAGTCTGTTTGGTTGTTTGCTACATTGCATTGACCCCAATTTTCTAATTTATCATTTAGTCAATGCATGAAAAAAAGCAACAAAAATAATATTATTAGATATCAGGTTAGATGGATGATAAAATTGATAAAAATATGGCAGAAATAAAGCAAAAATAGTCGCTAAAATTAAGGTCAAAATAGCAACAAAAAAAATTATAAAAAAAAACAAATAAGTAGAAAAAGGTACCAAAAGTAGGACGAGAATAGCTAGATATTAGTTAAAAGCTAACACTAAACAGATATTAACTCCAAGGTACCAAAAAACAAAGTAGTAGATAATTAATGTTAAAATGAAACACACCAAATGTTAACAGCTACATGTAAAGCTAAAGGTATCTTCAGTGAAGCTCAGGTTTAGCTAAAATAAGTCAAACTTGTAATTTGAGACCAAAAAGAGGACAGAATTTATTCTCGAAAAGTTCAAGAATGCATTTGAAATAAAGTTGAAATGTTAAGAATTGAACCTCCTTGACCTTGAGAAAGAATTTAATTGCCACTTCAAACATTTTAACAATTTTAACAAAAAAATGTTAGAGATTTAAATGTCAGCAAATGTTAAAACATCATGTGAAAATAAAGACCGGAAAAAGACTAAACTAAATATAATATTTCAGATCCACGTCACTGTAACGTTCGTTCTTTACGTTGTAACGGCTACTTCCTGTCTACTTCGTAATACTTTGGTCAAACACAGACCTGGTCTAACGAGTTCATTAACGAGTCCGCCTGTGTGATTTCAGCCATATTTCAGATTATTCAAAGCATCCGCATGGGAATGTGATCCAGAATCGAACCCCCGACCCGTGTCCCACATCTGTCCTGCACTCACCTCGCCTGCTCACCCTGTACCCCCTACCACAGGCCCAGAGATGGACACCAAGCTACAGACACCGCAGACCTCAGAGAGAGAGAAAGGAAGCTCCCCTGCCTGTTCATCAGCTCCTCTTCCTCCCCCCTCCTCCTCCTCCTCCCCCTCCTCCTCTTCCTCCCCCTGACATGTTCCTCATCTTGATCAGTGTTTACAGTTGCAGTCTGTGGTACTGACAGCTTTTCTATGGACAGTCTAAAACCACGCCTGCTGAGGTTCGTGTGTGTGTGTTTGTATGTGTGTCCTTCCGCACATTCTGCACCTGTGTGAGTGAGTGTGTGACACCGTACTGTAGATGTGTGTGTGTGTGTGTGTGTGTGTGTGTGTGTGCAGTGAAAACATGCCATAACTGTTTGAGTATCTGTCTGTGTTGTCTGAGAAAAAAAAAAGTTTTTCAATTAAATGTGGAGCACTCAAAGGACCAGCTGGTCTCCGTCCCACTTCTGTTGACTCCGTGTCTACACTGAGGTCAATCCCACAGCACGTGTGAAGCAGTGAAGGACTTTTAAAGGAACTGTGACACCACTTTAGTTGTTTGACCCCAAGGATGGCCATTAATTAGCAAAGGAGTGCCCACCGTTAGCTTGGTCTCTGTGTTGCGAGGGATGAGTCGTGAATGTGTGGTGGCTCCACTACGCAAAAGTTGTTAATGTCATTTTTTAAACTGAGTCTGGAGAATATTCTGTGCTTCAAAGTTAAAGCAGTTCTTCTGAAAACTTTTTCTACAGACTGGACTACTGATGGCTCCCTCCATGACTATCATGTCCACACATTCACAGCTTTTGTTTTAAAACTAAAAACTAAACTTTATTTCAAGCACATAAATTGCTCTTCTCATTAAACCAAGGGGGGAAAAGAAGGAAATAATAAAAAAAAGGAAATAAGAAGTGAAACCTGATCCTGAATCCTCACACACATCTTTCCTGTGTCTGCTGCAGATCTTTTCCGGTCGAGGTTACAGCGGTGAGACTGACTTCAGGTCAGTATCAATGTCTGACTTTGATCTGAAACAGAAACAAATATATGAATGAGAAAAGAAAAAGTCTTTTAAAAAGCAGCCACATGGACATCATACATGAAAGAGATCTTTAGTATTAACCAATCAGGTGCAAGTTTTATCAACTCCCAAAACCAGCCGTTTTAATTTCTCTTCAAATCATAGTACTGTTGAGGTACTAAACTTAACTGCTGACCACTGACGAATATCCAGGTTCGTTCTTGAATCTCTCACTTTCTTCCATGCCACGCTTACGTGAAGCCGTCCTCGAGTCTTCTCCACAGAAGAGGTGGGTGGAGCAGACAGTGGCTCATTAGCATTTAAAGGTAAAGGTAGGACGTTGTTTAAAGGATCCAGCTGCGGAAAACATGTTATTAACATCTGATCTAGACATCAGGGAAGAATATTCATTTGCAGTGAATGAACATAGCCATGTCCCCTTATAGAAAACTAACACCACTTCACAGTAAAGGTTAAGGTTTACAGTATCACAGTATTTTTGTCCAGATTACTTCATGTTTCAACATGCTTTTTAAAATACATCGTAGTAAAGATTAAAAATAAAAACAGACTATTATGAACAAAATTAAGTATTTTTGTCCAGATTACTTCATGTTTCAGCATGCTTTTTAAAATACATCGTACATCGTAGTAAAGATTAAAAAAAATGCTATCGAGGCTCACTTTGGAATTTTTGAGAAACATATCATCCCATCACGACAGGGGTCTTTTCTCAGTCCACTTCAGGCTCCTGTTCACAGTGTCTGGCACATCAACAAGAGGAGAATCATCACACATCATTACTTCATTTTACTGAACCAACTTAAAAGTGTCATTTGAACAGAAGTGCCCAACTGCCTACAGACAGACATACAGATTTGAAAGCCTCAAGTGCTGGACTGAAGTTCCAAAAGAAAGAATCTGGAAAGAGCAAGGACATTTAGAAAAGAAAAGAAATCTGGCAGCAGAAGTGAAGAGCCATGAGGGAGGAAGTGAGGGGACGCTGAAAAAGAGTTACTCACTCTGGCTGATGTCCTGCGGGGAGAAGGTGAAACGACACTGCGGCACTCCACCTGCCAAAACTTTATAAAACATGCAGTACATTCTTAAATGAAGCAAAATAGTTTAAGACGGTAAATGATATAATATTTCTGAATATTTAGAAATACTATAATGGATATTGTAGCTTAATCTACTGTAGTCTGAGTGCAGCTCGTAGGGAAGAGAAGAACACTCCTTTTTTTTGTAAATGCTGTCAATTGAAGAAAATTGGCAAAAATCTGTATCAGCAAGTCAGGCGTGAGATTATATTGAATTTATCGGCAGATTCTCTCTGGTGAATAGAGCATGAAACAGGCAAGAAACTAAAATCTTTCTGACTTCTGTGTGTAATGACTAGTAAACAATACACAGGAATCCTGATTAAACAGCTTCAGAGCAGACCAACTTAATATACCACAGAGTAGGAAGTGCTGAAGCAGTACAGACAAAATAAATAGTCAGTGGCTTCTATCCCCCCACCCCCCGCCCTTCCCGACCCCAACAGGCCGTGTACACATTTAGTCATAGTCACACCAACTTGACAGAACCAATTGGGAAAAACACAAGTAACCACAAACGTATTCTTCCTTAAGCATGTTTATTGAAGTTTGTGAAGTGCGGCTGTCAAGTGCAATTGTAGTATGTATGTTACAATATCTTATCCAGTCTTTGCAGAAACATGCACAGAACATGAGCATACAACTGATACAGAGTGAAAATTGAAGGAAAAAAAAAACCCACACCACCAGACTGTTTTTTGTTTTGTTTGTTGTTTTTGTGTGTAGTTCAAAGATATAGTTCATCCAGAAGTATTCGTCCAAAAAAAAAAAAAAAAACACATAAAAAAAAAAGTAAAGGTGCAATACTTGGAGGGAAAAAAAAGAAAAAAAGAAGTAGAGCAAAGTGAAAACAGTTGTACAGTCCAGAGTGGATTTTTGCGATACGGTACATGAGCAGCCTGATCGGCTGTTTGTTTGTTTGTTTGTCTGTTTTCGTCAGTTAAATAACCCTAAACTCCTGTCCATCCTCAATCCTGAAAATACAGCAATAAAAATAGACGACACAGAGTGGGCAAGATTTGCACGTGCCTCAGCGTTATCTGCTTCAATCTGTGTGACCTAGATAGCATCTGTCGTTTTACTCCACTCCCACTATTTTACATCGTACTTACACTGTACAGAAATATACATCATCTTCTGCCCATCAAACGTTAAGGAGAAAAAAAACAAAAGAGATGCAGCGTAGCCCTGTGTCTGGCCCTGTTGTATCAGGTTTAAATTACACATGCCACCGCGGGGCTCAGACAGTAGCAGTCGTCAGCTCTGTCACGGGCAAAGTCAGAAGCTCAAAAGTGAAATACTGAAAATATCATCATCTGCATAAGAAACCACGATTTGTTCACCCCGTCGACCCGAAGTCGAAGTAACATC